CTGCAGTTGACTGCCCCATCGACGAAATATTTTCGTTACCAACAGATTTTTGGTAACTGCCGGTGGCCAGAAATCTTAAAAAAGTCGCGAGTTTCAGCTGGTGCGATAGGTGGGTGCTTCTATGTGATGGAGCCATATGCTCTTGTAATTCATTTAAAATGTACTGGAATATTTCCTTATTGATTCGGAAATTTGCAACAAATCTAAAAAAGAATACATTGTAGCATACAAAAATTATTGGCTAATCTTGAACTTACTCAGTCTCAGGTAGTTCCATTACATTGGTGTGGTCTCGCAATCTCCTCCTCTGTATCCGCCTTTCCCTTTCTTCAGATTCCTCGGCGTCCATTAGCGCTATAGCAGCATACATTTTTTAAAATAGATTTTCCTTATATTCTTTCCGCAACACAACCAAAACACTTTTAAGCAAAACCAAAATGTAAACAATTCCGATGTTGCCCATTTAAAATAAAAAGCATTGAAATAAGCTGAAAATATTAGAAATCTAAGAAAAAATCTTTGAAAGTACATCAAAATTACATCCGGCAACATCATTCAACGTAACCGAGACGATAGCAACGTAATCGACGTAAAGGCAAGACGAAGACGAACGACAGAGTTACAAACTTGCAATCCGTGACGATATCGCCTACAGACGAATCGTTCGTGCGGCCTAACGTTCGAGATACAGAATAAGGCTGAATGTTTCTGCCCACAAGAGTAGAGGGGATGGCAATTACCTCATCTTTGCCAAATTTCATAATATCCTATTTCTCAGCAAAATTAGAGCACATGTCAAGTTTTAGCGAAATTAGCAAGTTAACTATTATTTCCACCTGGCTCCATATGGTCGGAGCTCTGAGCGTCGTCCTGCGCGGATAACAATTCTGTACAAAAAAAGTAAACAAAGCCGAATTGGATGTTAAAAGAAAATATTAGAAGAGCCTATTTTCTAAATTTCTATATTTCCTTCAGAAGTTTATACCTGTGTCTTTATAGCGCACTCGCTGAAACTGTATTCAAAAGTAACAAAATTGCTGCTTTAATTCGAAATTTCTTTAATAATAAATTTGCACGGTTCACCGAAATGGAAGGGAGCAATAATTCAAATTTATTAAAATAATAATTATAATTCAAAACGGACGGTATAAAAAAAAACTTATTTTCGCTTCGAGTCAAATGAATGATGTGCTTATACGTGTTTTCAAACCGATTTGAAGAAGAAAAACCGGATTTGAAAACAAATTCGAGTCAATACACTTTTGAATTTCTGATCGTATTGAAATTTGGTTTACGCATAAGTTTTGAATCACTGCAAACTGGATCAAAACGCTTCATGTGTCGGTATAAAAAAGGGAAATGTTTAATTGTGTTTTAGGCGTAGTACGATGAATTTTGTCAATAATGTGGGAATAGGGCTGTCAACATGAAAAGTTTGAAAAAGGGTTATTTTTGTGGAAGTATAGTGAATTTCAGTGCAGTTAAAGTTTCTGAGGCATCGTTTCCTTTCAGATCAGAATTGTAAAAATCGACGAAATAGCGGTGTGTCGGACGCGTCACCTTTGTTCTCTGCATTGTGAATCACTGCCAATTGTAGAGCGCGCTCCCGACACAGCGGAACAATGAATAACAGCCCTATTCGCGTGCACTGACATAACTCGCCGCTATAACTATTGTCATGTTTATAATCAATTGTCACGTTTAGGTAAGCAGAGGGCAATTTGAAAACTCCAACGGTGACAATTGCTATTATATTTGTGATGACCTATTGCGTACATGACAACGCTAAAACATATGTTAATGCTTTCAGTTTTATTAATTTTGCAGAAAAAAGTTGAAAAATTTTACTAAATGAAAACTGTTAAACCATTTTATTTGCCTAAATACGTGTGTTAAAAAGTTATTATTTGCATATTCATGGAGGAAATAACTATTGTACGCAGCTAGTATTGTCGAGCAAGATGAAATTATACAGAGAAGAAGACTTTTGAGGAAACTCCGAGACAACAGTTTTTTTGGACGTTTGCAATTCGGGGTGGTCTTCACAAAACTGCAGCTGCTGTTGTGTGGTGCATTCATATTTTCACCTGTTATTACACGAATTCATAATAAAATTAAATAAATTTTCCTATTATAAAATTACTCACTTTTCCGGCATTTCGTAATCCATTTCTGCGGTGTATTTTATTTAAAAGAAATCCCGTCTGTTGCAGTGGCGGTCAAAAAGAACAATTAAAATGTAAACAAGGAACAGCTGTTTCACTATAGAGAAACTTTCGTCGCAGTTGGCAAATAAAACGAGCTTTTCGCTTGTCATTATCGAATGTGCATACCTATGACAACAGGTGATGACACGATAATAACAATTGACGAGTGTGACCACACGCGAATAGGGCTTTAAATGTGCACTTTATAAAACGGACTGTAAAGATACCGTTCAATAAGGAATATTTATATTTTACCCAGTGATGGAAAATTTTGTATACTATTCCCCGATTGCAAATACTAATAAGATATATTCATTTCACTTTTTGAATAAACCCACAAAATCCCTTTCTGATTTCTTTTGTCCTAATATTCGGCTTTGTTTACTTCTCTTCTATTTCTAGAAATGGCGTCTCCGTCGAGAATGCGCAGTCTTGCATTTATCTATCTTGACTATACTCCACGTGTGGCCGGCCGGTTACACGAAAACTAAAGTGGAATACACTACGATATGGCAGCACCATTTGCCGAATATTCCTTGCCGACGTCAAAAGAAAACCGAAGGCATGCGTCAGATTAGAAATCATTTGCAATCGTACTAGTTGGAGCGGGTTTGGAATATTTTCTTCGTGATCTTTGTTTAACATAATTGGTAAATAAAATAAATGAGTAAATAGCAGTTTACCTTGCGATGTGCCCTAGTTTTGAGGTTATTTGGTATTTGAGTTCAATGTGATTAGGGATAAAGTCAAATGCGGTACATTAGTTTCTAGTTATATATATATATATATATATATATACATATATGTGTATATGTATATGTATGTATGTACATATATATGAAGACTTCAAATGAAGCTGCAGAATAAGTGCTGTTGAAACATTTACACCCTTAATTCATGAAAAGTAAAGAACCTACATACACATATGCTTTATAAATCGAAAATATGTATTAAAAATTCACTTCATAAGCTTTTAAAATCTAGGTTCTTTATTTGCTACGAATAAAGCCATTTATGGTAGTTTTCAGCGACTATCAAATATAAAGAATTTGTATAATTTACCGAAAAAAAATTTGAATACACGAACTAAATTTGCTCAATTTAGTCCAGAATATCTAGGGTGCTGCGAAACTTGAGAAAGAAAATTAGCGCTGTGCTGACTCACCAGATGAGTTAATTTCCTTTCTGCTCACTCTGTTCCATTCGTGGAATGAATTGAGTTGAGTGAAACGATACGATGACACTTCGGTCGTGGGTTTTCGTTTGTCCACAACGATGGCACCATCACCAAATTGAAAATTTTCATTCAATTTTGTTAGTATTCACTCGCCTGAAGGTTACATTTGTTTGAGCCTGAAAAGGCTGGAGTTCAGCAGGAAATTGGAGGCTCGATATTTGGCCGACAGGTTGTTCCGAGATGTTTCATATAATTATATTTACTCAAATTAATGAAATAATTATACCATGGTATCAATATCGTGCATGAAAAGAAAACGGATATTAATAAAAATAAAGATATTCAATAACCGACAAAGCTTTTATAAATAGAGCACTTTGTGTTTTGTGATTCATACTCTATGTACACCTCAGTAGCATTTATATAAAAATAATCCCTTTTATGGACAAGAATAAATATATATGTATGCGCGTACGTGAATATCATTTATTTTTTGTTTTATATATGTAGGTCAAAAATTTATTGATACTAGCAGATATTAATAATTACAGGTAAGGCTAACGTTGAGTATCGCAACAGAAGAATTAAATTGGTACCGTGCTAGTTTATTTTTTGCGAGAAAGTGACGCAAACGACCTTTTGTTGAAAATAAAATAGATACCACTACAGTAAACAACAAAAATACTAAAATGAGCTGGCAAGATTATGTGGACAACCAACTACTGGCCTCGCACTGTGTAACAAAGGCTTGTATTGCTGGACATGATGGCAACATCTGGGCTCAATCCAAGGGATTTGAGGTAAGTTTTTAAACCCAAATAGTTTGAGTTTCCTAACTTGTGTATAATGTCGTTAAATTTTTGAAGTGTACATTAACTTTACTTTGTCCTCAAGGGTGTGACCGGTTAGAAAGCAGGGTGTTAAAATGTAGAGAGGAAAACTGAGATACACACCGAAATATTTAATCGTATAACATGAGTAACGACTCATCGGATAAAACACCCTTGTTGAGTTTATTTTTGTTCCTTGCATACAGTATTGCTACATACACATTTTTTTCTTACCAAAATCAACCAAAACTACCAAAATTTTTTTGAGTAATATTTTTCTACAATGTCAAATTTATTAAAAAATGTAGATGACTTAGTATTTAGTAAAACTAAAGGCTGAGATTTCACCTCTCTGAACTTGGCAGGACAACTTTTTCTCAAAGCAAAAATTCCTATCGCATAATTTGCCGTTAATTATCCGTAAATTATCCGTGAAAAGAATAATTTTGCCGCGGACATATTTTAAAAAATATCGAGTGCCCTGCTAACTTCCGTGGAAGTTAGCAGGGCACCTTCTGAAAACCAATGAAGGAAACCAGCTAAACCCAAACTAACTATCTGATAATTTGCCGTAAATTATCCGTTGTTTATCCGTGAAAAGAATTATTTTGCCGCGGAAACATTTTAAAAAATATCGCGTGCCCTGCTAACTTCCGTGGAAGTTAGCCAGGCACCTTCTGAAAACCAATAAAGTAAACCAGCTAAACCCAAACTAACTATCTGATAATTTGCCGTAAATTATCCGTTGTTTATCCGTGAAAA